CATATATATATATATATATATATATATATATTAGAAATGTACCAAATAGTGAACTTGGGCAAAGGCCGAATAGTGCTATCTTCTCTTTGGGTTTTGTTCAAGTTATAGCAGATTTCAATGTTTTTTAAGCTTAAATCTTTAATAATATTTCTGTCCTTTTTGTCATGAAGTTTCACTAAAATTAGTCTATTTTATAATTTTTTAGCTTTGAACTTCGCTTTAAAAGAATTGTTTTCTATTAATTCATCCAAGAGGTGTGTTGCAAGATCTCTTTTTATGTCATCGGCGTTGGATTTTTTCTGTTCTTGGTTTTTCTCCACCTTTGATTTATTCTGTCAGGATATTTTCAATTCCTGGACATTTGTTACTTTTCAACTGTTAGCTTTTTGTACTTCTTCCATCAGAATTTCATATCATCACTCTCTTCTTCCGTCTGCACTTATCAATGCTTATTTTTAAAGTTTCCTGTTGGGCATGTTAAGTATTTTTTATAGTCGTCTGTTAACTGTTTAAGTTTGATTTGCAAATAATAAAATAAACAAAGGAAGTTTATATTGTATAACCGTTACATCTAACAACAGTGACGGAGTGGTGAGAATGTTTACCCAAGAACCATCTCGAATGGCTGATGATGAGATGCTCAATGCTTACGAACAATCCATCACAAAATGTTCGCTTCCTGCTCAAATTGGAGATATAAAAACGGATGATCTTCCCGGACCTGATGCTCTTAACATTCCTGGTTCTTTTTAAATAAATTATTTTTTAAATTCTCCTAACATCCTTTTTGAGTTAGATTTGCTTCTTGAAATTTTTTCATTATTTCCAACATCCTGTAGAATCGGATTAGCATTTATTTGTTAAAATATCCTAAAGGCAAGAAAGAAGGACAGATACAGATGATAAAGCGAATGGACGTTGTGGAGGCATATCAGTGGAGTCAGTCAGATGATGAGTGGATCAAAGTAGGAGATGTGGTAGGAGGTGGTTCAAATGAACAGTCAGATAAAAAGAAGGACTACGAAGGAAAGGTCTTAGCATTTGATTATGTGGCTCCGTCTAAACGCCTTTTAATAATATGTTAATAAAATACTTTTGAAAAACAGTTTATGATTTGCAATTGTGTTTTATTTGTTAATAGAGAGAGATTTATATGCTGTTGGTAACATATGTTATAAACTTACAATTTTTTATTGAAGCAAAAAAGTAATGTTATACATTGCGCCAAAAAATAAATGAATTTGTTATGAGGTTCTTGTTAACGTTTTAATTTGGCAAAACATGATAAATTCATTTTTNCAAGAAATATGATTACGTCTT